CTCTAAATATATATTTTTTTAAAAAAACAAGACTGAAATTAAATTAGCAAAACATACAACTCAGAAGGTAGAAATCAGAAAATAAACCCAAAGAAACAGGAAAAGGCCAATAAAGTAGGCATTTTGCAAAGCTAGTCAAAGAAAATACACAGAAACCAGGACGGGCACCTGCTGGTTTGATTTGCTCTCACTCCTTTCCCCTTTTCTGGGATAAGAACCTCTCTATTCCATGGGAAACATGTCATATGGATCAGGGGTGGCTCATCTTGCCTTCCCCCAGCTCCCTAACTCCCTACTCAGCCCTGGCCACAGTGATTGCCCAAGAGAGAGCAAGTGACTGAGCAAGACAACTGTTCTTTCAGGAAATACATGAATCATGAGGAAAGAACTCTTTGTAAGGACTGAGTGGAAAGGGGAGCCTCCTGTAGGGAGTAAGGGACCCATCAATCGAGAGAAGCAGAGACAACCCGAGAAACAAATGAGAGAGCCCCGAGGAACCACGCTGGCCCTGGGTCAGCTCTGCCTAAAGCTCTGCTCTCAGATCTCAGGCCAGTGAGCTTGTCCGATTCTGCTAACTCAGGTGAGATTTTGTCACTTATGCCAATTACTACACATGACTTTTTGCCTCCCCAAACCTTAACTATACATAAAATGATTCTTAAAAAAAAGTTATCGCCCTAACCGGTTTGGCTCAGTGGATAGAGCGTCGGCCTGCGGACTAAAGGGTCCCGGGTTCGATTCCGGTCAAGGGCATGTACCTTGGTTGCAGGCACATCCCCAGTAGGGGGTTTGTAGGAGGCAGCTGATCAATGTTTCTCTCTCATTGATGTTTCTAACTCTCTATCCCTCTCCCTTCCTCTCTGTAAAAAATCAATAAAATATATTTTTAAAAAAAAGTTATCAAAGTTGACTCCAGGATAGAAAACTTGGATAGAATGCCTAAGTGCAGATGTTTTTATAAATAAATTTCACCAATTTTTGAAGAAACAAATAATTCCTTTTCTATAAATTCAAACCTGAAGAAAAAGATTAAATGTTTCTAAACCAGTTCTACATGCTAGCATAATTGTTATCAAATGGGACAGGGAGCTCAGATCATTAAAACAAAGTGAGCCCTGGCTGGTGTCGCTCAGTTGGATGGGCATCATCCTGTGCACTGAAATGTTGCTGGTTCTCTTCCAGGTCAGGCCACATGCCCGGTCTGTGGGTTCAACCCCCAGTAGGGGGCGTGCAGGAGGCAGTGGATGGATGTTTCGCTGTTTCCCTCTCATATCAATGTTCTCTCTCTCTCCCTTCCTGTCTCTAAAAATAAAATTTTAAAAAAGTGAAATTTGCCTGAAAGATATAAAAATCCTAACTCAGTATTATAAAATCAAGCAGGGTTGCCCTAACCGGTTTGGCTCAGTGGATAAAGCGTCGGCCTGGGGACTCAAGGGTCCCAGGTTCAATTCCGGTCAAGGGCATGTGTGCCTTGGTTGCGGGCACAACCCCAGTGGGGAGTGTGCAGGAGGCAGCTGATCGATGTTTCTAACTCTCTATCCCTCTCCCTTCCTCTCTGTAAGAAAATCAATAAAATATATATTTTTTAAAAATCAAGCAGGGTTTACATCAGAATGTGAGAATGGTTCCATATTAGGGAATCTATTAATGAAAATCAGTACAATAAAACACAATCTTTTTATTATCTCAATAGATGTAGAAATTCATCATGATGTGTTGAGTGAAGAAAAACCCCTCAGTAAGCCAGAACGGAAGGAGATACCTTCAGCCTAATGAAGGTTATCTTGAGAAACCTAAAGCAAGAAAACACGAGAACTACTCCTGCTGAGAGGAACAAATAAGGGTGCCACTCAACATTATACTGGAGTGGCCTCTACAATTCAAGAACAGAAACGAGCATAAAGGATCAGGTAAACCTACCTCTAGCAGATTTACTCTTTAGTCAGCAAGAGAATCAGAACTCATTTAGATTAGGTGAGCCCACAAAGATGGACAGCTTTCCTACACACCAGTGACGGTTAGAAATGTAATTTTAAAAGACCTATTCATAACAACTCTCAGATTCCTGAGACTAAACTGAACTGGAAACATTAGAGACCCACATGAAAATAACACTTTACAAAAGGACAAACATAACCTCATTTTTGGATAAGAAAATTCATAAGTCTTAAGATAGTACTTTCCTCCAAATCAAACTATGAGATTTAAATTCATGCCAATGAAAATCTCAACAGGACTTTGAAATGAAAATTGACAATCCACTCTAAAGTTCTTATGTCAGAAAAGACATGAAACTATGAAATGTTCCAGGAACAGTGGGGCAGGGGTGAGGGAGCTGTATCAATCATGCTATAGAATGTGGTTCTGTACACAGATAAACATGACAGATTAGAAATTCCAGAGATCCACATATATGCAGGAATAGTTTATTTTTTTTTAAATACATTTTATTGATTTTTTAACAGAGAGGAAGGAAGGGGAATGAGAGTTAGAAACATCGATGAGGGAGAAGCATCGATCAGCTGCCTCCTGCACACTCCCCACTGGGGTTATGCCCGCAACCAAGGTACATGCCCTTGACCGGAATCGAACCCGGGACCCTTGAGTCCGCAGGCCGACGCTCTATCCACTGAGCCAAACCGGTCAGGGCGGAATATAGTTTATTTTAAAAGGTATTCTAAAGCAATGAGGAAAGAATGAACCATTCAATAAATGATAGAGGGACAAGTGGCCACAACTTTAGGAAAAAAAGTTAGCTATCTCCAATAAAAAATAAACTTCAAACAAATTAATACACGTCTCTACCTCACCTGATGTTTACTCTTTGTGTGTATATATACATTTTTTCATTCTTTTTTAAAACTTTTTTTATTGATTTCAGAGAAGGGAGAGGGAGAGATAGAAACATCAATGATGAGAATCATTGATTGGCTGCCTCCTGCATGCCTCACACTGGGGATCAAGCCCACAACTCAGTCATGTGCCCTTGACTTGAATCGAACCTAGGACCCTTCAGCCTACAGACTGATGCTCTATCTACTGAGCCAAACCAGCTAGGGCTCTCTCTCTATATATATATTTTAAACACATGTATGTACACATACACACAAATACACACATATGTGTATATATTTAAAGCTAGACTAAGCAACATAATAGAAAGTGAGGAGAGGAGCAGATACATGTGGAAAGGTTGAAGTCCCATTGGATTACAATGGAAAGTAAAAAAGACAGGAAGATCCATGAAGACATTGTAGGGTTGGTAAAGGGGAGGTGTGAATTCTCACCAAGGGCCTATTTCTTATTTTCTTAAAAAAAAAAAATAAATAATAAATGTGTGTGTGTGTGTGTACTAGTGGCCCGGTGCACAGATTTGTGCACATTGAAAGGAAATTAATTAGAATATGTTAATATTGCTATTAACGTATTTCTCGGGTACATCACCCAAGAACCGCTGCTGCCAAGTCACCACAGCTGGCAGCTCCTATGTGAGCGTCTGCCCCCTGATGGTCAGTGCATGTCATACCTACCGGCTGGTTGGATGGTCGCTTAGCCTTTTATATGTATAGATACATATAGTTTTATTGATTTTTAGAGAGAGGGGAGAAAGAAACATCCATGTGAGAAACATGGATCAGTTGCCTCCCACACATACCCTGACTGGGGATCAAACCTGCCACCCGGTATGTATCCTGACCAAGAATTCAATCCACCACCTTTTGGTGTATGGGATGGCACGCCAACCACCTGAGCCACACCAGTTAGGGTGGCCTATTATTTCTTAATGAAGTATAAGCTGTAGTAACTAGCAGGGGAAGGGGGAATAGGTAGACAAGATAAGAAGTTTCAAAATGCACCCCAGAGTTGATCTACTAGGCAGTGCTGAGGGTTTGTTTGAGGTTTACAATTATAAATTTAAGGTAAAACAAGTGAGCCCAGTTGGTGGTTTTCTCTAATAGTTACAGGCACAGAGGTGAATGATGGGATTGGCTGGGGTTAGGTTTTAGTAGCTGAATACAATGAAGGAAGACAAGGGAGTGGAGGGTGTGGGCCATGGAATCCAAGTTGCAGAAGGAGGAAAGCGAAGATAGAATAATGTGAGAATGTGGCGGAGCTGGAGGATGAAAATGAAGAATTTCAGCAGAAGGGGTAGTTGAACAAGTAAACAAGAAAGCCAGAAGGCGGTGATTGTACAGGTATTTGACTTCTAAAGGTACTACAATTTCTACTGATATCAGAGGTCCAGGGAGTAGAGATGTAGGCAGCAGGCCTGGAATAGAAGACCCGCATTAGTGATGGGGATTATCAAAGAACTAAAGAGCCACAGTGCTGAACAGGCCCACCCATGGGATGTAGAAATGACTAAGCAGAGATAAAAGACTCTAAGCCAGGAGATAAACTCTTCTAGTCTGAGCAGAGACTACAAGGTCAACGCCAGCAATGAGGAGTAACGTATAGCCAGAGGTTAAAAAAAAGAGAGAGATAAGTGGGATGATGTGTTTTACAAGAGGGCTGAGGAATGATGGTCTAAGTTGCCACAAGGGTCCAGCAACCAGGGGATGTACACAGCAGCATGCAGGTGGGCACTCCTGCAGTCATGGTGACTAGAAATGCAGGGAAATCAGCTCGTGAGGTACTATGAAATTCATCCTGAGTGTTTCTTAGAGGCAACGGGGGACTAGTCCTATGGCTGTGATCCTGAAAGCCTGAATCAGTATTGGTTGCGAGCAGGCAATAAAGTGGGACTGTTCCCACTTATCAAGTACATGCAAGGAGGGACAGCACAGGGCCCGCCACTTACTAAGTGTCCAATGAGAGAGACAGGGAGAGAGGAGAGAGAGAGAGAGAGAACCTAGGAAACCTTAGCTCCCTCTTCAATTTAAATTCATTCAAAATGTCCAGCCATTCCCCATTTCCTGCCCATGAGACCTCTACCAAGGAGCAATTTTTAACTGGACCACAGGTCCCTTCTCCCTCCAGAGAGCCACTCGGACACTAGCAGAAGTCACCACCCACCAGGGGTTTAATTCTCCTGGGTCAGAAGGTCAGTTCAGAGAGGAGTCCTGCCTTGTCCCCATTGGGGGGAAGATCTGCAGAGCACCCTGGAATTGTCCAAGGTCAGAGGAGGGAAAGTGGGTCCTGGAGCCTCAGGCTGTCTCCTCCTCTTCGCTCTCCTCCTCGCTCTCGTGATACTGTCTACGATTGGTGTTAACAAAGAGGTCAGAATCATCTTCAGAGCTGGACTCTTCTCCCGATGACTGTGGCTCAGCTGGGAGTTCTGGCTGAGTTGGTCTTCATCGGGGAAAAGGACAGAGTTAGCCCAATGCCTTCTGGGAAAGCAAGATCTGCAAACGAGGAGCCCCACAAAAAGGAGGACCCTATGGCCAAGTAGTCAGGGCTCAGCAAGTCAGACAGGGAGTCGGAGCAAACAGCAGGAAAACTTGGCCAAGGAAAACAGGTTAAAGACAACCCCCAGCCCCACCCTCAAAAGTTTACTAGAGCCACTGGTTTTAATGATAAGTGTTCTACTTACCAACATGCAATGGACCCACTTGCATACAAATACTATACTAAGCAATTTTATAAGCATTAGCTCCTTTAATCCTCACAAGGCTCCTATTTCATAGGTGAGGAAATGCAGGCTTAAGAGATGAAGTAACCTGCTTACAGTCCCCAATTTATGTGGCAAAGCCAGGATTTTAACCCACAGAATCTACCCACATATGTAGAACCACATATTGAGGCGCTCTCACCAGGGAGAAAGACAGGCTCTATTTCCCCAAGGCACTAACGCTTAAACCCCCTTTTTCTGTCTTCTCTACCCTAAGGCTTGAACCTCACCTGTTCCTGTTGTTATTGTGTTTCTCAGCCACCTCAAAGGCCTCAGGCCTGTATCAGGAGAAAAGCCAGGGTCAGAAAGAACAGAGAAATCTCTCAGCATAAAAGCTGTTTCCAGCTGTCCCTGCCTGGGATGCTATGATCTTTCCGCCCCTAATTTCACAGCGAAGTCAATCCCTCCCAGAAATCTTGCAGCCAATGACCAAGGGGACCACCTACCAGAGCCCATCCTTCTTCAGAGAGCGCACATGGTCTTTGCAGAGCACGAAGGAGATCTCAGCCTTCACCTTTTCTCCCTCTTCAATAGGGTCAACGATGAGAAAGTCCCCTGTAGGTAGAGAGGAGGGGAGGCCAGTCAGTCCAGCTTGCAGTGGCGGAAGCCAAGGCCACAGGAAATGGTTCTAACTCCTAGAGAGCTGCCCCTCTCACCTCTCTTAATCCAGATGTTCTTGCGGTATTTGGAGGGCATGCTTACCAGGAAGCGCTGCCCCTGGGCTGTCTCCACTTCATGCAGATTGTTCCCTGGGGTCCTGAGTACCTGGTCCGGGAGACCGAGAACCAGTTGGCCTCATCAGCCAGCTCAAAGACCCACTGAGCTGGCTGCACCCTCCCCCCCCCAGGGCTCCAACAGGAGTGGAGGGGTCGGGGCAGAGCAGCTTATGCCCGATTCTACTCACCCTCACGATCTGCTGGTGGTCAGAGGGCACCATGTGCTCCCCCAGCACCTCCTTCACCACATGCTTCCTCTTGGTGGCCTGAGACATGCCGGTCCTGTTCCAGGGCGGTGAGAGGCAGAGGCTGTCCCCTTCTTCTGAGTTCCTTGGATGGCAGGATCAGAACCCAGGACTGTTTTGAAGATGGGCTGGGACCTTTTACTGAGGAGTGGCTGTGTCCTGGTTAAGAACGTGGCTCTGAAATCTAATTGCGTGGATTGAAATCTTAGTTTGACTGTTTCCTGTGAACAAAAAAAAAGGGGGTTGTATGGAAAGTGACCTCACAAGGTGATCTGATAATAAATTCCTAACTGGGCAGGTCATGGTGGGTAGTCACGCCCCAAGCCTGTAACTTTTTTAATTTTAGAGAGAGAAGGAAGAGATAAATGTCGATTTGTTGTTCCACTTAGCTGTGTGTTCATCAGTTGCCTCTTGTATGTGCCCTGACTGGAGATCAAACCCACTCTCTTGGTGTGTCTGAACGACGCTGTAACCAACTGAACTACCCGGCCAGGGCCCAGGCCTATAACTTCTTTAAGGAAAGGTTTTTAAGTCCTGACCCTCAAGAGAGCGTATAATCTCATTAACGATCCTGTAACCCAATCCCCACCTTGCTTTCTCCCACCCTTTGTAATCTTCCTTAGCTTCATCCTTAAGTTCAAATTTATAAGTGAAACTGCAAAACGATTAACTTCCGGAGGGTTTAAGATCTTGCTCCCTGGCATCTGCTGTCATTTTGGCTCAAATAAATGCTTATAAAAATTCTCCACAGGTTTGGAAGTTTTTAGGTTGACAATCCTTACTATTCAATTCTCTAGGCCTCCGAGAAAAATAACAGCTAACCCAGAGCATTTATTAGGATGAGAGGATGTAAGCAAAGGACTCAGAACAGCGTATGGCACATAAAAATAACTCATGTTATCTTAAGTACTGGCATAACATAAAAACTAAATAAATCATCCTGGCAATCGCTCGGGAAGAGATAAGCTAAGCGGTATCTTCCTCAATATGCGTGTACACCCCAGTGCAGCACAGCCACACAACACAGATGCTCGCCACCTCAACACCATACAGGCAGAGGCCAGAGAGGAGAGCGCCGCCAAGGTCCGAGCCAGGAACGCCTTCATCAAAGGGCGAGGGGTGCGGTCTCGGTCCAGGGCATCTGCTGTCTTTCTGACGAGTTCTGAGATGACAAGGACTGGCACCATCAACACCGGTGGTTTACCAAGGAAAACTCCCAAGTGCTACTTCCGGTTGTTTTCTGCCTTCCTCCCTTATCCCGGAGGAAAGACGCCGAGAGAGACCCACGCCTACCTGCTGGCTCTCTTCTCCCAACGGCGCCGCTGGGACGATCCCGTTCGTTCTCGAGGCTGGACGCAGGGAGTGGCTGGTCCACGACTCACTTCGCGGCTGAGCCGATGAAAGCACAGAAAATGAACCCGCCGGTGAGCCAGACGGCGGAGTTTGCTAGGACTCAGGTCTTCAGCGTCTCCGGTTCCTGCCCGACTCCTAAAAGCCCGACACGGTTCGGCCTGAGTCGGACCCTTCCAAGAGCAGTACTTCCGGCGCTCTGCCGTAGGCCTCCGGCCACCCTCCTCCCGCCTGTCCGTCCCTCTAACTCTTCCTGCTGACAAGTGGGCCAACGCTAGGTCCTTGAGTTCCGGATGCCGTGCAGCGGGGAAAAGAAGTTTTCTTCACCGAGGTCTCTGCTCTGAGACCGGAAATGCTGCCCGAGAAGAGAAATCAAACAAGGCAGCCCGGCTTCCCGCGAGTCGACCGAAAAGGAGCGTCTACTAAGGTTGCCGTGGAGGTCCAGAGCGCCTCAACTCTATGGCTCTAAGCAGCTAGAAGTGCCAAATTTAATTTTTTTAGGCGGCTCTTGCGGCGACCCGGAAGCGGAAGTGGGAGAAAGTTCTAGTGGGTTGAGGTATCGGCGGGAGCAGCCGGCGGCGGCGGGAGGAGCCGTTACGGGAGCTGGAACTGCCGGTGAGCGCCAGCCGCGGAGCAGGGCCCAGCCTGGAAAACAGAGGAGGTGCACGGAGGAGGGAGGAGGGGGGAGCAAGCGGCGCAGCCGGATAGAGTCCGCGCCCTTGGAGAGGAGCAGGGAGGCGTGCAGGAGGCAGCCTATCAGATTCTCTCTCATCATTGATGTTTCTCTCTCTCCCTCTCCCTTTCTCTCTGAAATCAATAAAAACATATCTTAAAAAGATATACTCATGGCTTTTTTTTTTTTTTAATATGGACTTAGACCTAGCCTCCCACATGACCTCTGACACAAGGTTATGGCTGATAGCGGGTAGCGATGAGGGCTATACTATCTTTTCCTGACAACACATTCGGCAAGATGAATGTTCTGTC